TCAGCATGAATCCAACAGTGAGCTGCTTAGTTACAATACTGTATGAATTTACTGTATTTTTTCACTGTATTTTTTCCAAAAGTAATTTTATGAATCTCCAGTCAGAAGCATGATGGTAATTTTCCAGCCTCAGAGCATGAAACAAGTTCTCAAAGATGCTAGGGATTCATTAAAAGGATGCCAGGAAAATTGTTATATCTGCATGCACAGAAATACTGACTTTGTGATTGCAAGGTTCTCTATATAAACAATGTCTGCATAGATACAGCTAAACTTGATGGGGGGAAAAAAATTCTTGGCACTTCACAAAGAACCATTTTCAGGACTGGGGGTCAGAGGAGAGAGGAACCTGTAAAGGTGGGGCTATCTGCAATACTGACCAAACTGTGGTTTGATTTTCATTAAGCCAAGCCAAGATGAAAAGGGCAAACTTGCATGTTGTCTCCCTAGAGTCCGTAACTCTGTGCCTGAGATCTCCAGAGGGAGGGTTCATGTTAACCTCAGTTGTATCATATTTAATTTGGCTATTGGAAGACTCACTTGGCTCTCTTTGCAAATACCACACCTTTTATATTTTTGACTCTCCCCATTTTAATACTGTTGTTTTGCTATGTGGAGATTTCTTGTCATACTTGTGATTTCTTCTCAAAATACATGGCTCATCTTCCTGTCTGCTGCTGAACTTCTCATCTACAGACTCTCAGTGGGTGCTGATCATGTCTCATCACTCAGATGTTGCATAGAGGGGGCATTACTCTGTGATTTCCAGAGGGTGAATAAAACCAAGAGGTTTGGTTCAATGATGTGAGATATCAACCTGTGAGGGAAAGCTCTAGGGCACTGCTTGTAATTCCCAGGGGGACTTTATATTCAGAAAAGCAGTGACAAGCCCTATGCTTTAGCATGCCTAAGGACTCTACTGCTAGATTCATAAATACTCATTTTGACTTCTTAACAGCATGCAAAACAAATGACAAGTTGAAAAAAAAAGGGTCTCCTCAAAAACATGAGCTTCATTTTACTTTCCCAGCTACAAAATGCCTCAGTTGCCCCCCTTATTGCCTTTTATGCCCCCACTCTGCCTTGTCCCTGTGGTCATGACGAGGCCCCAGAAATTAAGAGTTCTGTAATGAGCTCACATTGGAAAAAACTTGCACAGAAAGGCAATAATAAGGGCCCTTTTAAAAAGCCTCCTGGTAGCTCTGTCCTTGATTCTGGAATCATTTGCTTAAGTTTCTACAGCTCATCACATAAGAAAGGCACACTGTCACCAAACAGCATTTGAACTTTACAGTCAAAAGCCACAAACCATCTCAGGTGCTATACCAGCTTCAGAAGAGATAGAAATAATAAGAGCACACGAACTGGTCAGCTAGAGACAGACTCTCTTCTAGTGATGCTTGTACTGATCTGCATGAGGCTGGCACTGTACACTCCACTGTTCAGCAAGGCTGTGGTGGGGACTGGATGCCTTCCTGCTGGCTCCCAGTAGCAAAAATGGACATGGACCTCTTTGGCAGGTTGTTGCCTTTGCACTCTGTAGCCATTCTGGTGCTGAGTAAGAGTTGGTACAAACCTTCAGGCAGAACTGATGCTCCAAATTTGTTCCAGAGAAACACCTCTACCATCACAAATAATCATTCTGCCCAAGGTGGATTGCTTATTTTGGCCTCAGAGAAATCTGCTGTATGTGTAGACAGCATCGCACCCCTTCTTCCCAAAGGGCAGATGCCTTGAAGAGGCTGCCAGGCCTGTGCAGCTGCTGGGACACATGGCAAATGACATTAAAAATCTTTACCTCCTTGCTGATCAAATGAGAATTGGGGATTTTTGCTGCCGCTTTTCTAGAGTTTTTGCTCTCAGGTTTATCTACTGCCTGGCAGTGACTATAGCAGCAGCAGAACTAGCTTTTATTCATGCCAGCTAAAATGGTGAGGGCTGTGTCTATGTGTAGGTGTTCATGCCAGGTGATGTTCAGCAGCTTAGTTTACAGCTAGTCTCACAAAGTTGTTCATTGAGCTTCTTGTCACGTTTTACTATACAAAATCCTTTGAATAAGGGTGGGAAAAAGAAAATCATCTAATGTAGAAGCCCAGGCAGTGAGATCTTCCAGCTGTGACTGTTGTCAAGAGTTTGTCAGTGTTCCTGCTCCATGGGTTTAGCAGTGACCTCTGTGGAAGGGTAGCAGCACACCGGCTCACAGAGTGTACATGGGCTCCTGGATGTCACCACATAACTAATGACAACGATGTCCTTTTCAGTGTAGCCTGATGTAAAAACTGTAACTTGTTATACCGCTTCCCTTTCTGATGCTGCAGTACCGCTCCTCCGTGCATACTGTTTGTGTTATGCAGCCACCTAGAGGGCCTGCTGCCTGTACTGCCTTCACGCTGTTGACCAGAAACCACAAAACTGCTGGAAAATATAAGCTCTGCTGACCCTTAGTGGCCGTAAAATGGCTGTAGTGCTGTGGGAATCTTTTTACATATTCAGGAATGCTGTTGTTCTGGTGCTGTTATGCAGGTGTCTCTTTTTTTTTTTTTTTTTTTGGGGGGGGGGAAGGTGCTGACGAACGTGCTGAAGGCAAAAACTGGGGAAGCACTGTCAGCAGCTAAGAGGATCTGGGTATCATAGAGGAGAACATACCCAACCTTGATATTTTACCGCAGTCCCACAGAGCAACTGCAGTATCTTACATCTAGGGGCTATCAAAATTGTCATAGTAAACTGAAGGTGAGTCACTGCCTGGCAAATAGAGAAGGGAAGAAAAACTGGAGGCAAAATGACCAAAGACCACCACGTGGTTCTGACAGATGGATGTGATTCTTGGAGACACCAGGAGGTATCTGTCTGGTTCAGATAGGGAAGACAATCATTTGTACTGGTGAGACTTCACCTGGAGTATCAGACACAAGCCTGGCTTTCAAAGATCAGGAAAAATGAATTTGAATATGCAAAGAAGGCCTCAAGGTGATGAAGGGAACTGAAATATTATAAGAGGAACTTAAAGATTCAGAAAGACAGTATCAAAAAGGATATGAAATGTTTCCCCAATTAAAAAAAGGTGTCAGTGATGTCAACATCAGAGAGGGATAAAAGTATCACGGTGCAAGATCGGATGAGCGTAAATTACCCAAACCTTTTGTGCTTGAAAATCAGTGTGTTTTTAACATTAAGAGCAGTGAGGTTCATTAGCCGTGTCTGAAGTGTGAGAAGGAGCGAAACTTCTTCCCTCACTAAAATGCATGTTGATCCATGGGGTGGTTGTCAGCACCACCATTTCCAGCCCTACCTTCCTGCTTTGGGGTGCTCTTCAGACCTGCTGATTTATCAGGTTATGTCATGACGACTGTAAAAGCAGCGTCCCTGCATTTGTGCTCCATCAGGGGAAAAAAGTCCGTGAGAGGCTGTCACGGACACCCTTTTGGTCTGAATACAACCCTCCATTTCGACTTCACTGTTAACTGGCACGGCATCTCCGGGAACAACTTTTCAAAGGCCTCAACTTTTTTGCTACGTTGAAGCCGTCGGTGTTTTCACTCTTCCCTGCAGCACTTGACAGTCTGCCAGAGCCCTCCCCGCGGCTTGGCCCGCTCGGGTGAGACACTGCCGCCGGCACCCTCTTCCCGGGTGCCTCTGCACAAGTGACACCCTCCTGCGATCCCGCAGCCCTGAGGGTGCCTTGCATCCGCACTCGGGCCGCCATAAATGCTACGGAGACGCAAGACCAGAACGATTTCATGCACGTTACACGCCCAAAGACAACGGTGTTTCTCAGTAGGTTGGCGGCCGGCGAGGGGCCGGGAGCGGGTCCCGCCCGGCCGCCCCCCTCTCCGCGGAGAGCGCGGCGGGGCGGGCGGGGTCGGGGCTTCCGCGGAGC